GTTTTGCTTTTGGTTATAATAGCCTAATTTGTAGTTCTCATAAAGTACCCACTAACTCCAATGCCCGTATTCATAGAAACGAATTGATAAGAGAGAGAGGAAAACAAATAAATGAGATAGACGAGAATTTGAAATGGAAAAGCAAAAAGAGAAGAAAGGAGTAAGACAAAGATACAAGATTTGGTTGTTAGACATTAAATAAAGAGTATGTTAGTCATTATAAAAATGACATGTACTTTGGGAGGATAAATGAAATAAAAAATAAATAAATCAGGGTAATAAATAGGACTTTCAACAGGGGTTATATTGGGCAGATTCTTCAACTAGGGGGATTCTGTAATTTTTCCTTAAAATCAATTTCATTGAAATCCTTTCGTGGAAGGCTTCACTTCACAAGAAAACAAGACATAAAAGATATGTAATGAATTACAATCACTCGTATTTGCTCTTGCCACATAATGAAACATTAAATTACATAAAAGAGATGCGATAATCTCCATTTTGAGTGACACAATTTCCTCTATAGTCACTGTTGTACATCTCCAAATAGCTTTCCTCATATGTGCCATTGACAGCCAAAAGAAAAGCCTCATCTAGAACTTGAATTATGGGAGCCAAAAAAGTTTCGATGAGAACTACATGGGTCACCTCCATTGAAGCAGTTGGTAAAAAGAATTTAACTCACCCTTTCTTTCTTATGACTCCATGAACTTATCTTTAGCTGATCAAGCTTAGGCTGAGAAGGTATTGAGTCGTGCAAGGAATGCAACTGAGCATGCCCGCTACTACCACAAGTTGCAGTTTCTACCAATTTAAGTGATTGTCAAAGTAACGTGAAAAAAAGAAAAACGCCTTAGAAAGAAAGCCAACCAGGAAATTATCAAACTCTCACAGAGTATATATCAAACACACAAAAAGAAAAGGAAAACGCTTTACAAGAAGAAAAGCAGCTAACCAGAGCCAAAGATTGGTTAACAAAACAATTAACTACAATTACAAATAAAATCCTCAAAAAATGTATGGAGTTTCTATGGGACATTGGAGTGAGCCATGGCTTATAAATAGTAAGATGAGGTGGTAACGGTCATTTGATGCTCATGTATTTCACATCAAGGTGACAGGATTCGAACCTGTCTGACCAGTCGATCGAAGAACACAAAGCAAAACCCAACCCAACTTTGGGCTTTGCTGCTTTTTCTCCGACTCTGAGATAGGCTTCAAGAGCGAAGAGAAGCACGCACACGAGATAGCGAGCAACCTGGCTTTCCTCGACGTAGCCAGTCGTAGTAACTTCGCTTCTTGATGCATATAACGCATGCATATAGTCTCATTCAACTGTGTCCAATTCGAAATGATCTCAATTATTCGAAATGATCTCAATTAATCCCTCTTCTACATCCTTTTCTTTGTATTGGACAATGTTCTTTTTTCTTTCTTTTTTAAGAAAATCCTTGTTTTCCACATCGTTCTTTCCTCTCCATTTCAATCTTCTTGCCATTCATTCTTTTTTTTAATCTCTTCCGTCTATACTACCTTCTAAACTCCAGGTCAATACGTCAATAGGAGAGAGACCATGACAAAAGAAAACATGCAAGAAGGGGCATGCAGCCATTAAATCATGGGCTTATAGAGAGAGAGAGAGTACTCATATTTATAAAGACACCTACCCACCATATAGCAAATCCATTACTCGATGTGGAAGCATCCTCCACATCTTCCAATTCAAAAGCTCCCTTTTGATTCCCCAAAATGCATCACTATTGTTAATGATACCAAATTTTGATCTCATCTACTCTATTCGCTGCAAAGAAAATTGTTAGTACCTCATTTACAGAGAAATGAAGCATATTCATTTACAAAGAAGTGGGGGCATATGGGAAGGAGAATGACAACAAAAGGAGGAAGTCAGATGAAAAGTGAGAGGCAATTTTTAAAAAGTAAAAAGATGGTATATGTTGCGTGTGGAAGCTTTAAATCCAACAGGTTGATTTTTGGTACAAAAAGTATCAGAAAGTTAAATTTGGCAACAACCAAGCAAACAACGAAAATATAAAGTAAAAAAAAAAGAAAAAAAAATACAATTTACTTGGTTCATCGGAGATGTAATCATATCTACGGGCGAAAAACAGATCAAAATTTTTCCACTAATCAATGAGAAAAAAAATTATACCGGAAAAAACTCACGAAAAAACCCTACAATGTTTTCTCTCTAGAAAATAACCCAAAGCTTTCTTCTTCTTCTTTTTTCACACTTCTTTCTCTACAGCAGCTAACTTTAAATAAATAAAAAACCCTAAAAACAGATACTTTTTCTAACTTTTTGGACTTTTAATTTTTATCTTTATCTATAGACCCGTCTATCTTAACCCAACTGGAACTAATCCAAAAATAATCAGCCTACGTTCAACCTAGAAAATGAAAAACCCAAATTAGAAAGAAAACCGATCCCTTCAAATTTGGGATTCAATACGATTATCAATAGGTACAATAGTAGGGATTGCTTAGGGCAGGGAAATACATTTCGAATAAAAAAGAAAGAACCAGTGCTTTCGATTCCCGGTTGCCTTCGCCTTGATGTATGACTGCGGTCTGCACCGTCAGAGGACATTGACGGGTTAGATGTAAGTGCCCGCGTCATAAGAGTTGCGGGCCCTGCCACACTAAAACCGGGCTATTTTTACAAAGTCCATCTTAATGATGGTTGTTGTTGAGTCATGCGGTTGTTGCATCCGCCGACTCACAAATAACTTTTCCAAAAAATGATGGTTTTTAAGAGTCAGCCGACTCAGATTGAACATATGTCGCATCTCACAACTATCATAAAGATAGATTTTTAATCAAAAATTTTAGGGATTCGTGATCTAAGTTAAGATGATCTTGAATATGATAAATAAAATAAAATTTTTAACATTTAAAATATGATTTTTTTAGGGATATTTCCATACCGCCTACATTAATTTTAGCCTGGTGGATTTTTTTGAACATCCACTGGAGAGCCAGACGACATTGGAGAGCCAGACCACTCTTGCCTCCTTTGACTCATGAACAACTATTCCAAAGTTGATGAGGTTTATATGAGTTAGCCGACTCGTATTGCATATATGTTGGTCACCTCTCAAATCTATCTTAAAGATGGACTTTCAATCCAAAATTTTAGGTATTCATGATCTAGGCTAAGATAATCATGAATTTTAAAAAAATAAAATAAAATTTTCAACATTTAAAATGTGTTTTTTCTTAATATTTGTACATATTCTATAATTACTTTAGCCTGGTGGTTTTTTTACAACACCCATGTTAAAGATAAATGTTGATGAGTAAGTGGGTTCTTGTGCCCAGACTGATGGGCAACTTATCCAAAGTGGATGTGGTTTCTATGAGTAAGCCAACTGATATTGTACATATGTGGCCCCCTCTCAAACTTATCTTAAAGATGGATTTTTAATCCAAAATTTTAGGTATTCATAGTCTAGGCTAAGATGATCATAAATATGAAAAAAATAAAATAAAATGTTCAACATTTAAAATGTGATTCTTTTAGGGATATTTTTACATTATTTATATTTATTTTAGCCCGATAGGTTTTTTACAACGTTTATCTTAAATATGGATGTTGGTAGTTAATGGACTCTTGCGCCCGCTAACTCACAAACAACTTTTCCAAAGCAGATGAGGATTTTATAAGTGAGCCAACTCATATTGTATTGGCCCCCTCTTAAATCTATATTAAAGATGGAATTTCAATCCAAAATGTAGGGATTCATGATCTAGGCTAAGATGATCATGAATATGAAAAAGAATAAAAATAAAAATTTCAACATTAAGATGTGATTATTTTAAGGGATATTTCTACATCATTTATATTTAATTTTTTTTGGGTAAATCAATAGAAGAGAAAGCCCCCTATCTATTTTTTTATTAATAAGTAAGAAATAGAAAATTTACAGCTCATTATCGTATAATCCTAGAACAGGGCACATTGCCAAATTATGAGTTAAAGCAAGGCAAATAAAATCCGACGGACAAGAACACCAAATAGTAGCTCCTTGATAAGAAGTAGCCATTTATGCATAAATATTGGGCACCATATTGGCTCCACAAAAAATTTGGGAAATGGACCACCCATAGATATTTATTTTAGCCAAGTGGCTTTTTTAAAAATGTGATTCTTTAGGCATATTTCTACATTATCTATATTCGTTTTAGCTTTGTGGGATTTTTACAAAGAAAAGGTTTCTATACTTCCCCTACAACACCGAAGATCTATCATTGCCCTATATGCTATTATGCGTGCTGAGTGCTCGCTCAATCGTGAAACTTTTACAAAGTGGATGGGATTTCTAGGAGTTGGCTTCTACAAAAACGGGCACCCTCTCATATTTAGTTTAAGGATCAATTTTTAGTCCAAAATTTTCGAGATTCCAAATCATCTAGGCTATGATCATTAATGCAAAAGAAAAGAAAAGAAAATTCAACATTTAAATTGTGATTCTTTTGGAGATATTTCTCCACCGTCAATTTATTTTATCCAAGTGGGTTTTTAAGGAAAAATATAATTCATTCACATCACATGGACGGGTGGTAGGGTGCACAAGCAACCTTCCAATGGTTAAGATCTCGTATGGCTTTATCAAAATTAGTCTTATTTTTTATTTAAATAAGATACTTATCTGAATTTAGAGCACAGGTATACTTCTATAAATATACTTAAATAAAAATAATTAAAAATATTTTAAATAAAAAACTAAAATACTTCTAAATTTATTTTGGTCAATATTGTGTCAGACTATTTTTATTAATTTGATTAAATCTTAATGAACTTAAAACCAAAATTTCAGATTAAAATATTTTTTAAATAAAAATAAAAAATAAAAAATTAGATTCATTATTGACCCTTGGATGAGCATGGTTAATCTGAACCATTAAAAGGTGCCCGTGCACCATTTGAGCGTCTACATGCTGTGTACGCAATACCAACCCTTTCTTAAAACGTCCGTCTTAAAAATGGATGACGATTTCCGACTCTCGAACGACTTTGGAAGGACAAGTACCATCACTGCACACGCTCGTGTCTTGTATCCAGAGCCTGCGATTGACTCGCCATTTCCTGAAACTCGCTAAAACACGAAGAAATAACTCTTCAGGTAAATCTTTGTCCTGCAAATTTGCTACTTTCTCTTCTAAATAGTGGAAGAACCATTTAGCTAATTTTTTTACTGTGAAAGATTGCATCTTTTTCCCTGTAAGCACAGAGAAAATCCTATTTCGGTAAATTTCTCTTTCTGCAAAACTGCAATTTTCCGCTAAAACCTATTGAATTGAAACTGTGATTCTAAGAACTTTCAAAATGGAAAATTCAAGTAATTTTCTCAGCCTGGGGAAACTTGGAATTTCCCTTGAGCACTATCGAAGTAAATTTGTGATTCTCAATATCTGCAAATTTCACATGTGATAAAAAACCAGGAGTATAAAAATGGCAGAATTACGGTTTCTTCATGAAACAAAGAATGTTAGGTTCCTGGTGGTCATCACAGAATCAAACGCACAGATAACTTCTTAATCTATCTTTACAGAAAAGAGATTCACATTCGCATGCTACTGTATAGTGAACTCCTGATCTCTGCTCCTCTCCACACCCTGCAAACCCTAATTCACTTGTTTTTCTTCTGGTTTTCAAGCCCTCTGGAAGTGATTATCGTGAGAAATAATCTGAGCGATGAGTTCATTTTTGTTTGTTGTTTCCTCTCTCGTTGATAGTTGTAGATTCAAGAACGTTTGGCCATGGAAGATAGAGAGGGTTTGAAGCTGGAGCAGAGGCATGGGAAAGCTAGGGTTAGGGTTTCAAGGGTGTGGAGAAGGCCTGGAGGGGAGCAATTCATTGTAGAATGGAATGTGAGCGTAAATCTCTACTCTGATTGCCCGCAAGCTTACTTCAAGGGAGACAATTCTGATATTGTTGCCACTGATTCGATGAAGAACACGGTATTAATTTTTTTAATTTTATTGCAAATTAGCTGTTGATATTGTGAAAAATAATTATTTGGATTTAAGCTTTCAGTGTTTACATTGGTTAGGTGATTAGCATTGTTTGGTTTTGATTGGAAAATTAGGTGATAAGCATTCTGCGATTAGGTGATTAGCACTTTCTTGGTGATGCGGATTTTTCTTTTTTGGTCATTTGATAGTACACTGTTAATAATATGTATTGGAAATTAATCCTATTTTTTTGGCATTTTATGGATTGTTGGGTTGATTGGATTTTAGTTGTACCTGCTCCTGATCAGGTGAGCTAAGCTGAGAATTTGAACTTTTTAAGTAGGGTGAAGTGATCCAGTGTACTAATTAGAGTTTTAAAACTAAGTCTTTGGGTCTGATTTGCTAGGTTTCTGAGCCCGAGTTGGAACGGCAGACTCACCGATTCTCAATTAGAAAATATAAAGACTTCTAGGACTCAGTGTCAGACACTCTTGATCATTAGGGTTATTCATCTGGGCCCCCTACCGAGTCCGAGTGAGTTGCCTGGGTCGGATTTCGAGTATTAAAATTAGTGCATCTTGTAACAGATTATTTGGACGGTCCATTTCTAAGATTTTTGAGTGTTTATGGATCCACTCAATCTCCATCATTTTTGGAGCTTTACATTTTATAATTCGGAATGGAAATGGATCTTGAGGCCATCGTAAAAGTTTTCAACACCGAAGCTGCAGTTTTCAACAATGTTTGGAAGTGTGCCGTACTTTGATTGTTTAAGATGGGCACCTTAAACAAACTTCACCCCATTTTTAATCAATTATTCTAATGAAGAAAGAAAATATTTTCGTGAATCTCGAAAGTACCTTAATCAGAGAATTGAATGGTTAACTTGATATATTTCTATCTTCATTTTTACATTGTCTCATTCTATTATTTGACTTTCTTTTCTGGTTTTTCTTTTTTCTTTTTACTGTTTTTTGCTTTTAAAATTTTTGGATCAAGGAGTGGTTCATTTGGAAAGATTGCATCTTCCAAGACTGATAATATGATTGTGGTTACCTTCGACTGATGTTTTTGATGACGGTTAATATTGCTTTGGGTAAGCCATGGGAACGAATTATGATCATTTCAAGTCAATCCTTTATAAGATGTATCTTTTCGATTGTGAAAATAGAAATTTCTTGCAAATCATTTTAGCAATACAGGAAAGGAAAATGAGTATGATTATTCCGATGGTTGCCATTACACACATACGCACATGGACAGAATTCATCAAGCCCCCAGATTGCAGCAAGTTCTTAAAAATGTCCAATAACAAAGGGATTTGTAATGAACCAGATGCATAATTTAACACTTTGCCATTTTTCTTTCAATTTATTTCTTCAAGCACACTTTACCTCTGCTTGGAAGTTATTGGAGGGGGCAATTTCCAATTTTTTCCTCTTTAAAAAAAAGTGGCTTTTAAGAAACCACTGCAAGATATTGGTACTTGTAATACAAATATTTTGGATAAGTTTAATACCCATGAGATATTAGTGTTTGAAGAACCAAATTCTCTACGCTTTAAAATATCGGTCTAAATGCGAGATATTGGTATTTTGAATTTAGAATACCGATATCTTGTAAAAAAAACTTCTGACACAAATGACATGCGCTTTGAAGGGATTTTTAAAATACTTTTAAAAAGAAAAACGCTGTCCATCTCTGAGGTGTGGTTGTTAAAAAGCCCTAAAAACAATCATATTCTTGAAACTATTATTAGTCCACATTGAAGGTCTCATTTGCCACAGTTTATGCATATTAGCAGTATGTTATTTGTGTATATGTAAGTTTGGTCAGGTATTTTCCTGTTGGGGGCATTTTATTTTAATTTTTTAACTCACTGTTAAGTTGCAAATTACCTGCATATGATCTTTCTTATTCATAAATAGTATATTTTACATGTATCTGATATATAACATGTTGTACATGCATTTCTTCAATAATGGAAATGGTAAGACAAAGCATGACAGTATGGATAAGGATGACAAATATGTTCAAGGCATTAGTTTCCCGGGACGTAAATGCTTCAAGCTCCAAGACTTATGCCCCTAGCCACCCAGCAGTGATATTCAAACCTTGAAGCCATGAGTTCTGTGTACTGAGCCTTCTTGTGTTGGGGCTTATTCTCAATGCCAGTCCAGAGGAGGGGTAACATATAACCATCAAATTGGGTTCTTGAATGTAGTTGGCCTTTTTCTCAATCCATGAGTGAGTTTTATTGATAATAGTAAAAGCAAAATCTTTCTAATTTTCTTCCCATGAAGTAGGCGATTTACATGATTAGGTAGCATGATTTGATTCATGAATTATTGATATTGGAAATTTAGAAGCATGCTTCCTTGTGTTTACAACTTTCAAATGTAAATAACCTGATGCTACTGAGTTTGTTGGCTTAAAATGCAAGACCTTCGTTATTACAAGAAGCTAGCTAGAAAATCATCATTCTTAACACACAGATTCTTCACTCTAAAGTTTGGAATTTTGAGACTTTAGACTGACTTTTGGGAACTTCTTGTATGGTCTTAAATTAGTGAATAATATATTGCCTGTACATACTTATATTTTCAACATCGAGTAAGAACAATTCAAAGATCGATTGACACAACTGCTTGAGCTGTTTGAATAGGTCTATGTGAAGGCAAAGGAATGTCAGCAAATTCTCTCAGTAGAGGACTTCGCTATCATTCTTGGGAATCACTTCACTGCAACATATCCACAGGTATGCGGGGCTTTTTGGATCAAGAGCTACATAAAAATTTTGAAGGTTAAAGTCAATGTTACATGAACACTCCATCTCCCCTTTTGTGGCACATGTTGAAACTTAGACCCGTATCGACACAACTAGATGTGTGTTACACGCTAACCATACGTGTCGAGTTTGTTTAGGGGAAATCAGAATGTACCGACACTTTTATATAAAATGTCTTACACTTAAAGAACCTGGCCCGCACGGTAGATCTTACCTTTTTGGTCCTTGTCCATTCCATCAGATGTGGTTTTGAAAGTTGAAATGGGTTTTAAATTTGCTGCTATATACTTTTTGAAATTCGAATTGGGCTTTTAAATTGGTTTTCGAAATTTGGATTGCTCTTTTAAATTTGCTTTAATAAAATGTAAGACTGAGGGAGAAGAGTGGAACCTATGTCATGTGGAGGATGGATGGTAAAGGCTACCAACACGTCATGGAAGCACATACCTATAACGCTACTGAATAATTAATTATATGATAGTTATTAATAGGAGTGTTATTCGATTGGAAAAAAATACCTTAATAGATGATGACAATTTTCCTTGTGCAAGGAAATGTCAAAATTTTCATACAACTTTATTTTAAATCTTATATGTTCTGAAATGTTAATTATACTTGCTGGATTTGAGCCTGGTTCATCCTAGGAAAAATATTAATAATTCTACAAACATAATTGTCAAAAATATTGATAATATTAAGCAACACATTATCTGTATTACTAATAAATCTTTAAAAGCATCATTTTGAAAATAAAAAACATAATTTTTTTTATCTTTTTTACATAAAAATAAATTTATATTTTTAAGTTGATATATATGTGTGGGGACCGTACTGGGTTTTTTGGCCAAATACTAGACACGTACTAGACACATACCCATGTCTGTGTCATTGTAACACTGTTTAAGAGAGCTACTCAAAATCAACTTCATATCAAATCCTTAAAAACATTTATGATAGAAAAGAAAAAGTTGCCCACAAAATCAACTTCATATCAGTTTCATTTGGAGGGAAGCTATTTCTGCTGTAAGGAAGCTACTCAAAATCAACTTCATATCAAGTCTTTAAAAAAATTTATGATAGAAAAGAAAAAGTTGCCCACAAAGGAACTCCATTCTCTGTCTCTGTCTTTTTTTATATTTAAGAGAACATTCTATTTGGCCTCAGAAATATTTTATCTTCATTTTTTGACTTTTTTTTGCACAAATTTTACAACTCAAACATGTATACATATTACTAATCACAGGGGGTGTGCTAGGTCAAGGGGATTTTGTACCGTTGTAATTGAACTGTATCAATATTACGCAGGAGGATATCAACTAGGCTAAAAGCCTCTAGATTAACAAGTGCAAGGTTATATTTATCTTGAATTATTTAGTCCATCAAGGGAGAACTTTTGCTGTCTCCATTTCATAGATAATTATTCTTTGGTTTAAATGTATCTTCCATCATCATTTCTATTATATCTCAATAAATTATTTCATTCTCTTATGTGAAACTGCAAAATTTATTCATAGTTTTGGTGTGTAGGTCACACGTGCAATCATTAAGATAGTGGAGAAGCCATGGGAACGCTTCCTTGTAGACGGTGAACATCATAAGCATGGTTAGCATATATTTCTTTAGATTTTAAAAACAAGATGCAGAATTTCTGATCTTTTCCATTTTTAAGGAAGCTAATTGAATCTGGTGGTTCTAGTAGGAGGTATATTGTTGGAAATTAGGCAACTAAACTAGGATTTCATAGTTCAAAACTCGAATTTAATGAGACATTCTGAGTTTTGGATATGACTTTGGACATTCATTTTGAGCCAATTTGTTTCCATCGTATTTATGTGGTGGAGGATATATTTCCAATGTTCTAACAAACATAGTCTGTCCTTTAAATGTTCCAACAATGTGATGATTCTAAGATATTCTGTTGGTTAATAGGGTTTTATTGTTAGTAAGAAATTATTGTTTTGGGTAGGTATGTTGGTTTTGAAGCCCCAACCTCAAGTTTGCTATAATGAATTAAGTTTTTCATTGTTGCAGGCTTCAAACTTGGGTCTGAGAGGCATACAACCGAAGTAGATGTAGAGAGGGGTGGTGCTTTACTTGTAACTTCTGGAGTTGAGGGCCTTTCTGTGCTGAAGACAACAAATGTTAGCTTTTTCTTCTGATACAACTTTCAATTCTTGAGCAGGGAGCATTTGCTAGATGCATTTTAGTGACGCACAAATCTCTTGTAACTTGTTATTCATGATATTGAGATTTTTTATTAATAAGATGCATTAAAACATATTCCCCTAGATCTAAGAGTTTGTAGGAAACTTAAGCTGTCCATGGTGAGTGGTACCTCTTTTTTTTTAGTATTATTATAAGAAAGTCTACCTTCCGAGTAATTATCTTATTTTATTCAATGAGCCTATGGTCGCTTAGGTGTGGCACCCAAGACCTACCTGCATTAGGTAGGTGCTAGGGGCTGGATTAAGTATTGGGCTTTGAAGGCAAGTACTATGTTTTGTGGTTCCCAGTCATGGGCTTTGAAGTAATTAGTTGAAAAAGGAAAATGAAATTCTGAACATGAGGTCAATGTTATGTGGACTGAGAGGGCTGACTGTATTAAGAAAGTGGCAAAAAAAGTTTAGGAGAATCTAGAGGGAAATGAAATTTTGATAAAGAAACTTGGTGGTGGAGTGATGAGGTTTGGAAGGCCATTTAGCGAAAAATGATCATGTTATAAATTTTGGCAATGTAATAGAAGAATCAAATCTTAGAAGAATATAAAATAACTAAGAAAAACGCTAAACAATTAGTAAGTAAGGCTAAACTTAAGGCATAAGATAATCTATATAGTAAATTGAGAACACGAAAATGTGAAAAAATGTCTTCAAATTAGCAAAAATGAGACAGACAAAATATATGGATTTGGACCATATTAAATACATTAAGAGTGATGATCAAAGAATTTTGGTGAAGGATGAAGAGGTCAACGAAAAGTAGAGAGTTTATTTTCAAAAATTATTAAATGACAAACACAATGGGAACATAGTGGTAGAAGGAACCATTAGCATAAATGAGGGCAGAGGTCGTAGATACATTCGTAAGATTAGGATATCGGAAGTGAAAGAAGCTTTGAAGAGGATAAGATTGGAAAGGCTTCAGGACCAAATGATATTCTAATAGAGATTTGGAAGCACATGGGGGAGATTCGCATTGACTGACTGATCAAGTTGTTTAACAAGGTGTTGAGAGCAAAGAAAATTCTGGACGAATAGTATTGTGGTAGCTATTTACCAGAACAAATGAGACATACATAATTGTACGAACTAACGAGGGGATCACACTTATGAGCCACACTTTGAAGTTGTGGGAGAGAATGATTGAGCAACGACTAAGGCATGAATCGAGTGTATCAGAAAGCCATTTTGGTTTTATGCCGGGGAGGTCAATAACCGAGGCTATTTTCTTCTACTGATTGAGAAGTTTAGGGCAAAGGGAAAATACCTTCACATTCTCTTTATTGATCTAGAAAAAGCTTATGAAAGGGTACTTAGAAATTTGATTTGGGTGTTGGAAAAGAAAGGAGTCTCCAAACATTACATCGGCTTGGTGAGAAATATGCACGATGAAATGCTAACTAGTATACAAACAACTAGTGGAGAGACGAGTGAGTTTCTAATGACAATAGGTCCATCATTGTCAACATTGAGCCCATACCTCTTTGTCTTAGTTATGGATGACTTAACTAGGCACATACAAGATGAAGTACCATGGTGCATGTTGTTTGCTTATGACATAGTTTTGATTGATGAGACCTGAAATGACGTCAACACAAAGTTAGAACTTCAGAAGGATGCTCTAGAATCTAAAGGATTTAAAATCAGCCGAACAGAGACAGAGTGTACAGAATGCAAGTTTAATAATAATAGGAGTAGAGATGAGGAAGTAGTTAAGATTCACGGCCAAGAAATACCAAAAAGAGTGTTCTTTCAATATATTGGGTCGATAATCCAGGAAAACGGAGAAATTGAGGAAGATGTCGCAACATAAAATTAGAAGTGGATGGGCGAAGTGGAGATGTGCAACCAGAGTTTTATGTGATCGCCGCATACCAGTGAAGCTGAAGGGCAAGTTCTATAGGACAACGGTGAGACCAACTTTACTTTATGGAGTGGAATATTGGACGATAAAAAAACAACATATCTATAAAATTCAAAATGATGAGGAAGTTGAGATGATGAGTGACAAGACAAGAAGGGATAGAATTCAAAATGAATATATTCGGAAGAATTTAGGTGCGGTACCAATAGGCAATATGATGAGAGAAAGTAGACTTAGGTGGGCTGGCCATATGTGGCACAGACCCAGTACAATACTTCTTAGGAGGTTCGAGTTAGTTCAATTGGAAGGTTAAAAAAGGACAAGAGGTAAGCCCAAAAGGACATGGTTGGAAGTAGTGAGGAAAGATGTGGGGACTTATGGCCTCATTGAGTGTATGACCCTTAATAGAGTTGAATGGCGGACCAGGATTCATTTAGTGTACCCCAATTAGTTGGGAAAAGGCTTTGATGATGAGTCATGGGTGCAATAACTATGGGATAACTTGGGTGTCTACGTGTCAAATTTGGATAAATTGGTTGACATTTTATTTTCCGACTTATAAAAGCTTAGTCATAGATCTTTCCTCTATTAGTTTATCTATCTGAGAAAATCTACTTCAAAGTTGACCTGAGAAAAAATACTAGAAGTTCAAATAATGTTGTCATTTTGACTTGAAACATTTGGGAGCTTGAGCAAATCTGTTGAACAAGTTTCTGAGTTGGAAAAAGAACTTGAATAGATCTTTGGAATTATTCTTTGATTTTTTCAAGTTCACTGCTATTAACTTCTGTCTGTGACGTGTTTATATAGTTATAAGAAAATCTTTCAAAGTTTCTCCTGAAAAATGATTGCACTTGTGAATATATATTGCTTTTTTATAAGTGTTTCTGTATATGTTAGATAAATATTTAGTTGTTTAGAACAATGCCTGAATGCTCATAAGTTGTTCACGACTAGCTTTTCTACAGTCGGGCTTTGAAGGGTTCATACGGGATGAGTACACACTGCTGAAAGACACAAACGAGAGGATACTGGCCACTGAGGTGAGTGCTCTTTGGAGGTAAGTCTTTAAATCTAGTTATTTTCTTCGTATTTCTGTAGACGAACTTCTTACACAGCTTCCTCTGATCTTATTTCATTAAGAAGTTAATCTACATTTCATTCACTCCTTTACCTACTAGTCGAAAATAAGCATATGGAATTCCAAAAAATATACATGGTTCTCTAATGAAATTAAAAAAAAAAAAGCCTTTGGGGTTCTTGTTTTGTTTGAAATGTTGATAATATAGTACTCCCTCATAAAACAAAACTTGAGCTCCTTCTAACGTTTAAGTGATTTTTGTTAGTGAGATTGCCTTCCTTTCTCTTGAGAAAGCATTTTTTCCTCTCAGTGTTTTTATTACCATTTAAAGGTACAATAATCAATTGATTGATGATAAACAAAGAAACACTAGCCTTGCTTTACTGTAAGATTTTTGGAGAGTTGGGCAATATTTCTTCAATTATATTCGATAAGTTTTCCTAGGGTTCTTTGGCATCTCATGTGGAGCCAATATAGGCTGTGGGTTTCGAAGGAGAATAGGGCATCAAGATGTTTCTGTGGGTAATAAGATTTATGCGAATAGGAGTAATTTATTATTTTTCCTTATTTATTTACCTGTGGTATTTACTTATAGACCAAGCACTTAACTACTCTTTTCTGGATAAATAAATAGCAAATTTATGCTGCAGCTCTGTGTTTTGAGCCTGTTGATTTCTAGAAAATGTAGCCTAGTTCATGAAGCTATAATTGGGCACCAGGATTGTTTTCAAGTAGTCAACTATTGTTGATGAACCATAAAAAAAGAAGAAAACAAAAAAACTCTTGAGCCCTCAAATGAAAATAATTAAACTCTGGCTAATTCTTCCTTCATTTTATAGGATACAATTAGTGTTCAATGTCAGCTTGACCGTTTTAAAAATGCTAAACTCTAAACTAATGGGCATTTCAGAGATGGAGGGATTTATTGTGTGCAGGTACTCAAGTGTTCCATTAAGGCCATTTACTTTTTCTGAAAGATACCTTGCTGTGAAGAAGGCCTTGCTTGAAACCTTCTTTGGTCCACCCAATGAAGGAGTATACAGCCCATCTGTTCAAACTACACTCTATCTAATGGCCCGAGCCATTCTTCAAAGGTGTACATCACAACCTCCCCCTACTAGCGCCTTCCCCACCCCTTTCCTCTCACCAGTTTTCTCTTTTGTTAAATGCTTTGATGGCCTAAGATGAGAATTAAGAATTGGAAATGCTACAGTTGAAGCAGTTACATGGTACGGCTATGCTAAGTTGCTTAGCCCTTTCAAAGCAACCAAATCATTGTCATATGTCTATGGTTGTTTCAAATTCTTATTGTAATGTTGCTCTATTCAGGTTCCCAGATGTTGAATGGGTCCATCTGAAAATGCCAAACCTTCATTTCTTGCCTGTCAATCTGGGAGGTCTTGTGAAGGTAGGAATCATCAATGTCATAAGTAGTAACTTACAATGGATATGATTTGTAGGAAAATGATTTATGTATCCTTCGCATAAGAGAAAACTTTGTACACAAACAGTTGAAATCCAATACTAACTTATGAGGAGCCTCCTTTTTTGCAGTTTAATGATGATGTGTATATACCTACTGATGAGCCACATGGAACAATTGAAGCTTGCCTGAGCAGGAAGCATGCCATACCCCTCCCATCGAAGCTATAGCTCCAGGTACACTCTAGAGACTTTTCGAAATACGAATTTTTAATTTACCTCTGGGTGACTGAATATATATCCTAAAAAAGAAAGCTGTTAATTTACTGGTCATCTACAAAATAAATAAATAGAAGTCTTCTGGTGAAACTGTGAATTTCTTTCACAGAAATAATGAAGTTCTTGAGCCACAACGACACAATTTAATTTTAAGAGTTATGCTTCTTAAATTTGAAAGAAATGTGTATAGAGATAATAGCTTAGTACTTCAGAGAATGTAGGCAGCATGAAGGCCAGTAAACAAGCTTGTCGGATGATAGTTGGGATACCCCATTGGCATGTGCTTTTGAATCTTGGCCTTTCATTTACATCAGAGACATTATTGGCAGGCTTAACATCTTGAATTGAACCTGACCAGTTATTAAATAGATGGTTCAGATTTCCTTACAGCACTGTGCTTGCTTGCTAAGAGGCCATGAGTCAAAGAGGTGGGCCCATTGAGAATAGGTTTTTCTAAATGGACAGTTTGATTGCCCCCAAGCAATGGGGTGATGCGAAATGAAGGTGGGAAATGAAATCCTCTCTATTTCTGATCCTCAAACAAGTAAAAATCAGCAATAAAATGAGAATTGTCAAGCTAATAGACGAAAAAGCTCTACTTATCCTTTCATAAAATAAATTTCAGTAAAAAGTAACGTAAGCTTCTCACGAGAGTCACTCCTACTTAATACAAGCAATCAAGGAAAAGAAAAATAAAAGATCCAAAAGATTCCTCTCTCCCTCCCTCTCTGTCGCCTATCACACCCAATATTTTAGGACTTGAAATAGAATATCTCTATCCATCTCCAACTTCCCTACTTTCCCTCATTCATTCCACTTTCCAAGGACTCTCCCGTGATTCCCTTCTGCTTCCTATTTAATTGCAGGAAAAGCTTTCTATATGCCACTAGATACAGGGAATGCATATACACCCTTCTCCCAGCCATTTGATTTGAATGGACGGCTCACATGGCCCAATTTACACTGTCACACCTAAATACTATTTTATTTAAGTTTGTTTTTTATTTTATTTTATTTTTTACAAATGTTAACGCCAAATTTGGGTTGCATCCTCTCTCTCAAAGGTCCCACCTATGAAAAATATTAAAAAGAAATATTCCTGACAAAATAATGACCAAAATATCCCTAAAAGTTTTAAGAATAGTTTGGTTATTTTATTTTTTAAAATATTTATTCATTTATTTATTTTTAGGTGTGCTCCATCTAGATGATGACACACGCTAAATTTATGTTCATATGATTTGTAGTAAAAAATAAAAATAAGACACTCGGAGCCATCAGATTTAGATCAAAAGGTTAGAAGTTCACTTATGACATTATAGTTGAAGCTCTCTCAACCATCCATTTTGATCAGATGGCTTGGGAAAGAATGGCATATATAAATTATTCCCTATGCTTAGTGGCATATCGAAATTTTTCCTTAATTGAATCCCTCATCAAAATCTTAAATTATAGGGTTGTACATGATGGCCTCTTCTAAGGGACATCTAGCTGATTGGGTAATTAAATAAAAATAATGATCAGATGCTTATCCTCACGAAAGACGAATATTGCTAAATCACTGGCCATGCCCATAGTAATAAATAAAATCCCTTTTGTGAGCCCCATTCCATAACTCCTAGAAATTGACCCTGATTAACCAAAAAAAAATCCACCCACATCAATGAAACTCAAATTAAAAAATATATATAATTTTGAATTATCCGTCTTTTGATTTGCATCAATTGGTGTACCGTAGAAAATCTGAGCTACCATCCAAAAGAATCTCAATACTAGTTGTCCACTTTCATGCAGGGCATGGCTTTCATGGAGGGGCATAACATTGTGTTCATGTTTGCTTTTACTAATCCCTATTTTGGTCTCTTTCTTTCTTAGGTCATAAATATTCCAAATATTAGGGTTAAACCTTATAGAAACAAATAATGACCCTTAAGGAATGAGCTCCTAGCTTTTACCTTTACCTCTAAAATGCACTTTTGAAGAATCAGGACCCTACGAAATGGCCAAAAAGGCAGAGATGTGAAATACTTGCACCCAAGAATGGTCGAGGTGAAACTAGTAATTTTTCCCCATGCACCTAGATTAATAGGTTTTAAAAGTGTCCATGTACTGAACAAACCAGCATATTTCTAGTCTTGTGAGCAGTTCAGCTAAACTGAGTTGAATTGTGCTAGCAAATTAAAGGAAAAAGTTTATACAAAGTGTCAACCTTCTACTGTACAAGTAAGGTGCACCTAAAAAACCCACTAGAGAAAGGTTGTTTCTATGCTGGAGAACCCCCAAATCAGTCATCTCAACCTCAAGATTCATAGACATGAAAAAAGAGGATTTCTATTCCTAGAAATAGTTCATCTTCTAATATATTATCTGGATCATTCATTTTCAAGAGTTTGAAGTGTTTATAGATCTGCTTCACTGTCACCTTTTCTGGAACTTTAAGTTTTATAATTGGGGGAAACAATAAATTTTCATATCATTGCAAGGCTTTGCGACACCAAAACTGCATTTTCGGCATAATTTTGAGGTACACCTCACTTCAATAGTATAAGGTTGACACCTTATACAAACCTCACCCCAAATTAAATGCTGATTATCAGCACAAAGTTGGGCCCATCCTCTTGTTTTTCAATAAACAGATGACCGTTGTCTCACCCTATTTTAAATTCAAAAGCAGATACATAAATGGAAAGTGGGCACTCTCTTTGCTTTCATCATTCCTTGGGGTCCATGATGTAGTATACATTCCCAAACCCCTTTAAAACCCACAATCCTCCCCAACTCTATTAAGAAAAGCTTTTGGTTATTGTAACCTAAGGCTTTTTCAATGGAGTTTAGCAGCAAATTGACTGGAGCAGAGTGGCTACCTAATAATGGCAGAAAGAATTGCAGATGGCCATTTCAAGACATCACCAGCTACTTCAATAATGAAGCAAGTGAAAACCCACCCCTTGTATCTGTGTTAGGATTGATTCTATCAAAAGAAAATTTATGTTAAAAATAATTTAGCTCTCTTATTTTATTCAACAGCTTATATTTAAGAAATAACACTGTTTTTTGTTATTTTTAGCAGACAGTTATGGATGAGGCTTCGGAATCAGGATCTCTTGTTCGAGATGATAGGCAGGAGCATGAGAAGGTTTCGAGTGGGAAAAATGTAGCTGGAAAATTAACGAGGCAGAAAGGTCAAGTGCTGGGAAGCCCAAGATCGAAGCCTGTTGTTTTGGGGAAAGGGGCTATTCTGAGAAGAGAATTCAGGTAGGAATTGTGTATATGAATGGGTAATTATATAAGAATCGAAAAATATTTATTAAAACAAGAATGTGTTATGGTTTTGTATTTTATTTGGTGTTGATATCGAATTGTCACCATGCGTGAAAGCTTAATGGAGGCATTGTAGAAGTGTGATTTATTTGAATGTGTTATTGTGTTGTGTTTTTTCAGAGATTGTTCTCTATGGTGGTTTCTATATTAATGGTCAAAGTTTGCTTCCTCTCTCTTTCTCTCTCTCCATGGTGGTTTCTATGTTAAAGGTCGAAGTTTGCCTCCTCTCTCTCTCTCTCTCTCTCTCTCTCTCTCTC